TAGGAAAGGAAGATCGAATTTTTTTTACAACAAAAAAAATATTTTTCAATGTAACTTAAAATGACAATGACCATGAATTGTTTTTCCAGAATTTATCCTGAATATTGCCTTTCTTAATTTCACAAATCATCCTTTTAATTACTAAGGAATTCAGGTCAACATCAACACCAAGTTAAGCAGAATATAGCTTTTCTCCTTTTTGAAAATTGGATTGTTTTCCATCTTTGGTTCTGGGGTCTCTTTCCTGCTATTCACCACAATTTTTCAACAGTTAATAAGTGGTTTAAGAATCTCATGTGTGCTCTCTAAGTACCCCAAATCTAATTGCTCACATTAAGAGACATGAATTACTTCTATTCTTTGTCTAATGTTCTTCCCACCTACTTTGGGCTTTGATTTCTTCTTCAGTGATGTTTGCTTCACTCTTTCCAATCTGGAAATCAGTCTTGAAAAGCGCTACCTTCTCTCATAAGCACCCACCCCAGGCAAGCAAGTCAGGGTTTTCTGTGCTCAGAGTATTTTCAAATGTTCCTTTCATTACCCCTAATATTTTAAAAGCCTTGGCTTACCATGGGCTAACATCTTCTTGACATTAGACTGATTTTGCTCTACACTTCCTTCTTCCCATGTTTACTGCATTCTTTTGAAAAGGAGCTTTCTTTTGCCTTTTGAAAAGACAAGATATCTGGACAACTAACATCAATATTTTAGATACTGTGCCCACATTTTCACTTTTATTGTAATTGCTTACATCTGTATAGTCAGAATTGTGTTTCTGAGAGCCTCCCAACCACCAAAGCTATCTTTTTCTCTCAGAGTCTTGAGCCACAGGATCATACCAACAATTTAGTATATATAAAATGTTTTTTTTTTTTTAAGATTTTATTTATTTATTTGAGAGAAAGAATGAGAGAGAGAGAAAGCACATGAGAGGGGGGAGGGTCAGAGGGAGAAGCAGACTCCCCGACAAGCAGGGAGCCTGATGCGGGACTCGATCCAGGGACTCCAAGATCATGACCTGAGCCGAAGGCAGTCACCCAACCAACTGAGCCACCCAGGCGCCCCTACATAAAATGTTTTTAAACTGAGATGCAATGAGCTTACACCTAATGCAAGTGTGCTGGTCCACTTCACATTTTGCTACAATAGGGGTAAACAAGTTGATAAATAATAACAAATTTTAAGAGTAAGATTCCATGCAAGTTTTAATATGAGAACAAATTTTCCCAACTTTTCCTAAGTTAACTTAGTTTTATTTGAAAATCAAAAAGTGATCCTGAATTAAACAGGAAGGATTCATCTTGAATGTCAGCATTATAACCAGAGTTAACACTTATTTCCATCTTGACTTTCTATAATGCATATTTTCATAAAGTGAGATACTAAGACAGGTTCATCAATTTTGATTACTGCCTTTTCACTTACTAAGAACATTTTTCCATGTCCTTAAAAACTCTTCCTAAACATTATTTTTTATAGCTGCCTAAGTATTCGATCGCATGGTGTTATGGTTTAATTTTGGCCCCAAAAAAGATATGCTGAAGCCCTGATGTCCAGTAACTCAGAAAGTGACCTTATTTGGAAACAGGGTCCTTAAAGATGTAACTGGTGAAGTTAAGGTGAGGTCATAGTGGAGTGAAGACACAGCGACAGATGGAAAATGGCATGTGAAGATGGAAGCACAGAATGAAGTCAAGGAATGCCAGAGATTGCTGACCATTACCAGAAGCTAGGAGAGCAGCATGGAACAGATTCTCCCTCACTGCTGACACCTTGATTTCGGACTTTCTCCAAAACTGTGAGAAAGAAAATTCTGTTGTTCTAAGCCATCCAACTTGTGGTACTTTGTTACAGCAATCCAAAGAAAGTATAATGCCCATGGTATATATACCATGAATTTTCTCAACCATTCCCCTATATAAGACATTTAGATAGTTTCCAGTTATTCCCCTATGAACAAAATTGCCAAGAATACTTTATATATTTTTTACTTGCATTTTAAATTATTTTCATGGAACACATTCTAAGTAGAATTACTATGTAAAGGCGTATAAATATTTTAAGGCTTTGATGTGTTTTGTAAAAATAATTTCCAGAAAGTTCTCTGTTCTAGAGTACCCTACAAATTTTTTCCTAATTTTAATAAGCAAAGAAAGAGCAATGTGTAATTTAAATTTTTATTTCTATAATTACTAGTGAGAGTAAATTTTTTCATGGTTATTAGTTATTTGAATTACCTTATTTTTAAATCATATGTCCTTACAGAAAACACCTTTCATTTGCATGGAAAAACACTAGCCTTTCAACATATATGAGAAGACAAAAATGAAGATGTATTTAAACTAATGTGAAATCTAAAATCTGTAAAACCAAATATAGGATCACAAGTCTTCCGATTATAATAATTGGGAATACTTAAAAGAAATTTATTACAATCATGCAATTACTCTTCAAAATCAAAGTGGGCTAGGAGGAAAGAAGATGAAAATACAGACATTTATTTTCCTTTCATACAAGAAAAGTAGTCTCCTTAGATATTGTTCATTTTGTATATACTTTAGTGATTAAGATTTTCTTTTTAAATGCATCTTAATATTGGACAATGAAATATCAAGTATTTTTGAGGCACAAAATTGTGTTTAAAAAGCAAGGAATATGTAATTTGCAATTTCCCCAAAATAAAACACTTTCTCATTCCAATTCTTCACATAGTTTAAAGTGACAAATATGAAAAAAAAAAAACCACAAAAAGAAATTCAAAAACAAAAAGCCACTTACATTAGAGCCCTCCTTTGCTGAAGATTTGAAATGCACGGGTTTGGGCAATGTTAGTGTTCCTTTTATTGAAATAGTAGGAGTGTCTCCACAACTAGAAGGCCAACTTAAATCTCTGCACTAAAAAAATTAAAAATACAGTTTGAATTTTACAGAGGACCCTGACAATACAAATATTTGATGTATTTCTTGAGTTAATGACTTAAATAAAAACTATAAAAAGTAAACATTAGTGTACAGAGATCTTTTGTTTCATCTACATTAAAATAATTTAACATTTAATGTTCCAGACATCATATCAATTTCCTTCTTGAGGTTAAAACCACAATTCCATCAGACCTACAGATTTATTCTCTTTAGAGTCTTTTTAAAATATTGTTTTCTGCAAAATACCACAGAATCCTAAATTCTAAAGAAGGTATTGTCCTGTTCCACAGAGAGAGTAACAGATGTTTATAATGAAAACATTCGATTTTGTAAGAAAAGCTGATATTAACTAAATTAACTTACCTGCAAAACAGTGATCCAGATCTGCTCTACTGAAGAATTATAAACCACTTTCACATTCAATCTCCCAAAATCTCTTTCATCTCCTGAGAGAGTAATTGTATCTAAATTGTAAAAGGACAAGGACATTTGAAAGGCTATGCAATCCTTCTAATCCAATTACGCTTTGATACAATCCAATTTTAAGAGCACAACTGAAAAATACCATTATTATTTTTTTTTCTAAGAAATAGAAATTTGCCACTTTAATAAGACAAAAATCACACTTCAATGTTATTACTGGAGTGCTAGGGAAAGACCTCCTATAAAAAGCACATGGCTTGAAAACTTAACTCAAATATAGTCTGAGAGACTTAAGTTAAAACTAAGATAAACTTTCCCAAATAACACTGATATGGCTTTAATCCTGGACGCTTCTGGAACTTCCTTCACTAGAATACTTCAAAACAAACAAAAGGCATTTAACTGTTTTGTGTTTTTTTAAAGATGCATTCATGTCTGAACACTAAAAAATGGGCCACCTGATCTGAGTATTCATATGCAGATAACAGATATAACCAGCTGGAGGTTTTCTTTTTTACCTTACCATATATTTGCTCAAATTACTATTAGGTAGAAATAATTCACTTAAAAAAAGAATATAAAAAGAAGGCACTTTATTCCTTACCCAGGCTTCTGTTACTGCCCTGGGAATTTTTCCTTGAAGAAGAAGTGCTAGGCATGCTGGACCATGAATCATGTCTCTAGAGATAAAAATTGTTCTTAAGTCCGATATCACACATCAAACTTTAAAGATTCTGAAACTTATGCCCCAACACCCACCCTAGTATCAAACTGCATGCTAACCATGTTGAAAGTGTTATTGGTCAGAATGCCCCTCTTTTAGACACTAAAGGGGGAGAAAAGCTTTCTGTGTGTGTTATCAGGAAAATCTTCAATAGCTTACTCAATCACATATGGGGAAAGCCTTTGTTGTTTGGGGTTTGGTTTTATAATAAGGAAAAAGGGGTTACTGCTTATGTTTCCTACTTGAAAGTACCCATAAAAATAAGAATACATTTGGAAGTGTCCTATTACCTAAAAAGCTGTTAAGTAGCAGTCATCAAAGTGTGGTCCCTCTGAACCAGCAAGATCAAAATCAGCGGGGAACTTGTTGGTAATATAAACTGAAGCCCCCAGTGCAGAGCTACTGAATTAAAAGCTCTGGGGGTGAGACCGGGCAGCCTGTATTCTAACAAGCTCTCCAACTTATTCTGATACACGTTCAAGAGCTGGTGCTATAAAGAAGTAATTCTGCAAAAAATTAACTCGACTGAGGATTACAAACAATTATTTAGAATACATTTCCATTTTAATAAAATACATGCATATACATGCACATGGAAAAAAGCCGGCAAGTATATATAACAGTATTTTCATGGTGCTTTTAACCTCAGTTACAGGAATATAGGTGATTTGTCTTTTTACTTTGCTTAACTCTATATTTTCTAATTTTTAATAATAATCACAATTTATTTATACTTTTAAAAGAAACTTTTTAAACATCAAAAAATTATTCTATTTCAAAAACAGGAGGATGCTGTGTTTACTATTAATGAATAATTAAAATCCTGTATCTCAATAGAAATACTAATTTTTACTAAGTAGGTAGCTATCTTCAATAAGGAAGGTTAAATCAATAAGCACTTCTAACCATACCATTTTAAATTCCAACTGCCTTCAAGATTGCCTGAGTACCTACCAACTGGGAGATATAAGATTCGTTTTAAAAAAAGACTGCCTTTTAGTATTCAGCTGAGTGAAAAAATGCACATGGGAAATGCTAAGTGTTTATTCTTCAGCTATTACCACAGATTTATCTACAAAAGATCTACACATGTTGCTTCTAACATAATTCACACATTCCTCAATTTTTAGCTTGAAAATAAATTATCGTATACAATTAAATTTATATCAATAATTCACCTGCATGAACCACTGAGATGAACTTGTAAGATCAAACATAGACTTGCTTAGTCCAGGGGAACTGGGAAGTTTGCTGGTCCTTAAATCACAAACTATGAAGGGACATAGAAAAATTTCTTTATATTAAAGAAGAAGAAACATTGGAATTTTACTTAATCACCATGAACTAAATCTCTATAGGAGTGCATCATGAATATTAATGCAAACTACTTAAGAAATAAAGTCTACTAAAGTTTAAATTTTTTTTTCAATTATTTTACTTTTGTTCTAAATAGAAACCAACATAAATCAAACAACACATTTTCACAACCACATCAAATATCAAGCAGGAAAAATTCGTTCGTTTTGCTTACATTACATTTCTCCATTCCATAGGAATACTCTAGTAAGAGAATGTAGGTTTTCTGTGCTAAATACAATTCATCTACATAATGAGCATTTACTACATTAAAAAAAATACTGAATTCCGTATTTCTAGTTTATATTTCTAGTTTCCCACCTAAACTAGAAGATTCTTTTTTCTTAAAGATTTTATTTAGTTGACAGAGAGAGAGAGGGAACACAAGTGGGAGAGGGAGAAGCAGACTCCCCGCTGAGCAGGGAGCCAAAGTGGGGGCTCAATCCTAGGACCCTGGGATCATGACCTGAGCCAAAGGCAGACAGTTAACCAACTGAGCCACCCAGGCACCCCCCCTTTATTTTTTAATTTTATTTATTTATTTGACAGAGAGAGATAAACTAGAAGATTCTTAAAGAATGGAACTCGGTATATTAATTGTGTATTCTAACACAGTGCTGAAATAAATATTTAAATAAATACTTCTGCCTTGTTTTTAGCACCTCACCGTGAATTCAGTTGTTGAGATAGCTATATACATTAAAAACCTAAAACACAGAATTTTGTGAATCAGATATGTATGACAGTCTAAAATTGATACAGTCCTCAAATATTAAACTAAGAAACTTCTATGATCATGTAGGCATTTTCTGTTTTCTTTGTTTACATCTGTAATCTCATGAGTTTGTAAATTTATAATTTTCACTGACTGGAGCAGGAAAGAAAAAAGCTAAAAAAGGGGCACCTGGGTGGTTCAGTAGTTAAGCGTCTGCCTTCGGCTCAGGTCATGGTCCCGGGGTCCTGGGATCGAGCTCCACATCGGGCTCCCTGCTCCGCGGGAAGCCTGCTTCTCCCTCTCCCACTCCCCCTACTTGTGTTCCTGCTCTTGCTATCTCTCTCTCTGTCAAATAAATAAATAAAATCTTTAAAAAAAAAGCTAATAAATATCTGTTGTAGAATTTCTGAATGGATAGATGATATACAAAAAATGAAACTTTTCAAAGAAGGACAAATAAAATAGAATTTGGAACTACCAATACACATAATTAATTAATCCTTCAATTTTTCCATTAAATAGAATAGCACAGAGACATCATCATGTTTACCATATCACTTCTGAAGCCTGCTTTTCTCTTATTTTTTTTTTTGTTTTTGATAAGAAGAATCATTTCTTCCAGGGTCTTAGATTTAACTTGATTTCTACATTTGTTAAAGAGAAACACAAAGAGTAAAAAGAAGAAGAAGAAGAAGAAGGTAGCGGGAGGGGAAGAATGAAGTGGGGGAAATCGGAGGGATAGACGAACCATGAGAGACGATGGACTCTGAAAAACAAAC